TATATGACGTGGTAAGGTTAGTAGCAGAAGTTTGTGAATTTAGAGAAATTTCTGTGATTATTCTCGTTACATCAAATTTTGGGTGAAAAGTACACAATGACTTGAGAACAATAGTATGCCTTGAGAGTAATAATCATGTTGGAACCTCAAAAAATGTAAGGTAAAATATAAACTAATTTTTCTAACTAAACTAGAGGCTAATATTTATATTTTCTTGAAAGAAAATATTAATGCCATAACACAGTGATGTATTTTATATATGGTCCTCGTCTTTTAAAAAAATCAGTAAGAAATAAAAGCTATTGCAGGCTGTGGTGGCACATGCCTGTAATCCCAGCACTGAGGAGGCTGAGACAGGATGATCGCTGTGAGTTCAAGACCAGCCTGGGCTACATAGTGAGTTCCAGGTCAGTCTCAACTACAGAGTGAGACCTTGTCTCAGAAAAAAAAAAAAAACCCAAAACAAACAAACAAACAAAAAAGAAATAAAAGATATTCATTGATAAAAGCTCATGTATTATTGTTGTAATGTTTCTATAGTTAATGCCCAGGCTGGCCAGCTTAAAAGTAGTCTGGGAGGATAGAAGTCCATGATTAGGGTGGACTAAGGTTCAGGTGTTGGCAGTGTTGGTTTCTCCTGTGGCCTCTTTCCTTGGCTTGTAGGAAGTGAAGATCACACTCAGTCTCTATGTGGTTTATTCTGTCCATGCTCAATTCAGTGTCTCAATTATTTCCTCTTATAAGAATATCAGTTGTATTGAATTAGATTCACAGACAATAACTCATTTAAAATTAATTAGCACTTTAAAAACCTTACTCGATTATGATTTCATTATGAAACAGTAAGGTTTAGGCCTTCAACATACAAAATGGGAGCAGAACATAATTTGTAATAGTTGGTGAGTTCTCCGTTGGCACTAAAAAACACAAAGGCATGAAAATACTGTTGGCCCTCTGCACCTGCATGTTCCACAGCATGGATTTGTGCAACCATAGATTGATAATATCAGGAAAAAATAATTATGTCTATACTGACAAACAATTTTTCTAGTCATTGTTCCCTATAGTAACAAGAATTTACATAGAATTTGCATTGTATCAGGCAGTGATGTAGGGATGATTTCCAGTCTATAAGAAGATGGATGTAGGTTGTATACAAATACTACATCATCTTATATAAAAGACAGAAGCATCTGTGGTATTTTGGTATCCATCAAGGTAGGGGTCTGAGAACTACTCCCTTCGGTGGAATGAGGGATGACCACACACATATACTTTGGAAAAAGCCTGGATAAAAATTTCAAAGTCATCTAAAAGTTAGTGAAGGGTACACCAATCTTGCCAAACTCCAAAAATGAAGTGCAGAAAGCATTTTAATCGAATAGGACCAGAAATCATCATAACTTATCATTCTGCTTTTCTTATTTTGAGTTTTCAATTTCATATGCTTATATATGATCTAAAATGTGAACTGAGAAAATATTTTCAAGATGTTTTGTTTATGATGACTCTGTGCAGCATGGTGAGTCCAGCTGAGAATCCTTGTTTCACTGTGGCGATGGCCCGGCAGTGCGACCAAGCCAACATGGATTCCCATGTTAAGACGCACCACTCACGTAATGCATGAAAGGTGTTCAGTGACATGTTAGTTACACTCTCCTTTGTACCACTGGCAAATGGCTAGATTCATTGCTTTTTATTCCAAATCATAAAAGGAAGAGTCCAGTCCCTCACAAAATGATTGTCACTGTTTTTCACATTAGTAAAAGCAAAAAGTGCCGTGGTGTTAAAGCAATGGAGTAAAGTTTGCTCCCTCTCCTACCCACTAACAGAGTCCTGAGCCGAAGTTGGAGACTGATTAATGAAGCAAAACAGTTTATTCCACTTCTTCTGCTCCTTTCATATTGCACATTTGGAAATATGGTTACCAAAGTTTACATTCAATATTTGAGGCTGTGCTTGGTTATTTATTTGTATTTTGAGACCCAATAAAGAATCTCTCTGTCCCTCTCTCCCTTTCTGTTTTTCTAGGTTCAGTATAACTGATTCTAGCAATTGTGCCCTTGTAGATGTCAGTGGCCCTAGCACCACCAGTTGCAATGGAACAAGAAAATATTTGTGCAGCAAAAAAAGCCATTGTGTTTAGAATTCTTCCATACTGAAGGTAGAGAAAAACTCAATTTTTGGACATTTTAAACTCATATGGATACATTTTTCCCCTCTCAAACATATGTCTGAAGTCATTCGATGAAGATTTAAATGGATTTCATATAAATTTAACTTATTGTTAAGAAGCCTAGGAATTAAATCGAGTTCCACGTGGCATTACTACACTGCCCAAGTTGGTGTATGCAGGCCAGTGGTCTCAGAACTGGTGTGTCAGCAATGCCTCAATGCAACAGAATGGAAAAGGACAGAAAGGGCCAGGCAGATCCTTCTACCTGTCTGAAATTCAGCTACATTTCCCTAAAATAGAAAGAAGTTCAAGCTTTGTGGAGCATTAACAGTGTCTCAATGGATCATAGTAGTACGTAACTCATTTAGAATTTGGAAAGAAGACCTGTGGGAGGAGTGTTCAGAGATGGGCGAGAGACCTTGTACTGCCATCAGAAACCAAATTTTCTAGAAATAAAGTTCATACTGAGGCATAGACAACTCTCCATCATTCCGTACATCCTTAGTCAAGTTACTCAGTGGAAGAATCATTTAAATTAACTGGATTTGATGTTGCCATTGTTCCTGGAAGTAGGGAAGAAAACAGGCTTCGTGACATGCGTCATGGTGAGCAAAACATGAATATTTATAGAGGAACATGAGGAGAGAAGGCCTGACTGTCTCTGGCTTCCATAGATTCTTAGCCACACTTAAAATAGAAGTCAGATTTGGGCTTCTTCGTGCCTCTACTGTCCGCTCTCTTGTTTGGTGCCCTTTAAAAGGGGAGGGTCCTTTATGAGCTTCCAAGATGCTGCCCACAGGCTGAGAGTGCTTGCTCAATTTGGGTAGAAATCACAAACTGACAGGTGCCACTCTCAGCCCATAATTTTATAGTTTCGACCTGCTGCCTCCTCCTCCTCTTCCTCCTCTTTCTCCTCCTCTCTTCATCACCTTCCCCCTGCTACTCTTTGTCCTTCCCCCTTATTTTTCTCTTCTCCTCCTTTTTTTTTTTTTCAGTCAGGAATTGCAGTGCATGCCCTAATACATTGTGCATTTTTCTCTCCAATTTCTTCTCTTTGGAGTGATATCAGTTGCTGGGTATTTAATCTGTCTTGTCCTGAGGGACAAAATTAGGAAATACTTGTGCCTTATCATTCAAAATCAACTTTATCAAATTCTGAGATTTAATGTATAGATGCAGGCTAGAAATTCTACTCCTCCTCCACTGCTGCCTGGAACGAACCCTAGGACATGAAGAGTGAGCACAACAATGGAGAAAAAAACTAGAAAGGTTGGCAGGTCTTTGTCCTTGGCCAAAAGAAAGAACAGGCTTTGTGTCTCTGTGAGGACCAAACAGTTCCAGACAGAAAACAGAGATTTGGAGGTGGACACTTGCAGTGAAAGTTGTGGTTAACAGCCACAGGGAGTTGGCCACAGTAGTACATGCCTAGAGTCCCACGTACTTGGGAGGCTGAGGCAGGAAGATTGAAAGTCTGTACCAGCCTGGGCAACTGAGCAAGCTCTGGTGTTACAACAAAAATAAAAACATCTAGGGGTGAGAGTTCAGTTCCTACTGACAAGAAAAGTAAGTGAATAATAACATCTTGAAATTCTACTCATTTCACCCAAGAAGCTTAGACCCCTTCACAGTACACTAGACAGTTTAAGTCACTGCCAAAATATCCTCTTCTTTCCATGCAACAAATTTTCTAGCCATAAAACTTTTTGCCATCCTTGCTTAAGAGAAAAACGAAATAAGAGAAATGAAGTTAAATTCTTAGGATTCTGTGAGTAGTGTGTTTTAAATGGAAAATTCTGATGAAATAATGAGACTTAAATATACATGAGCCTCTAGTAAATAAATATATGAACAAATTTTTTATTTAAGTCCCACCGGACTTAAGTCTTCATTTAAGTCTTCAATGGTCATGAAGCCCTCTCCAACTTCCTAACTCCCTCCTTTTTACCTTTAAATTCTCTCATTTCCTCAGTGACTCCCCAGGAAAAGCAAACTAACATCTATACTTCCCAGGTTTCTGACATTTTAAAGTTGCTAGTAACATGCAGGTCTGTGAACAACTTCAATTTCCTTTGATATCTATTAACACAAATATTAATGTTTGAATTTAAAGGAAAAAAAAACACTGATAAAAAAAAAAAAAACTTCACTTCACAAGAGGTGCTACTGCCACCTAGCGAGCAGAGGCGGGATTGCTGCTAAACGTCCCAAAACATAAGGCCCAAACTATCAGTAGCGCCAAGGCTGAGAAATCTTACACGTGCAAGAAAGCATGGAATCCGGAGCTCCGTGTTAACATACGGCTATTCCTTTCTCAATGGTAAAACTGCTGAAAGATATTGTCTCCAGATTTTCCAACAGAAATCGGTTAATATTTGTTAGTGGCCAGTGTAAAGCAGATACAATAAAAGTACCCAAGAAATAGCGTACGATAAAATATGAAAATATGAGGAGGGCCACACAGCTATTTGAAAAGCTAACAGTCTCAAACAAATGGTTGAAGTATCAAATGAAAGCCAGGGCCCAATTCAGAAGCTAGGAATGTTTGTTTGTTTTGTTTGTTTTTGTGGTACCGGCGATTGAACTCAGGATCTTGCACTTGTGAGGCAGGCACCGTGCCACGGAGCTAAATCCCCAGCCCTTGTTTGTTCTATTTGGAAACAAGGTCTCACTCTCACCAAGCTGCCAAGAGTGGGTTTGAATTTATGATCCTCCTCTTTCATCTTCCCAGACCGCTGAGATTAGAGGAGTGATTCACCACACCAGACTTAAAAACAGGTCATATTCATAGTTCTAGGTACAAATGATATAAAATAAAACAGACAGGATAAGTGAAAAAGAAAGAGGATAATAAAATTCAAGACATTCAACTTCCAGAATCCCTCAAAATCTCGAACACAACATTTTAACTCAGTTTGAAAACACCAGATAGTGAAAATATCACTGGGGAAGCTTCAGAATCCACTTTCAAAGTAGTTTATTTGCAGGCTGATTCTGCTGAAAGAAAAAAAAATTACTGTCATCACCTCCAAAAGGAAAACCTTGGTTATTTCTTAAAATATTGAAATCCAAATATTCATATACATTGCATATTTTAATAGCATGCATTTTATCTGAAAAAAGTATCATTTCCAAGAAACACTAGAATGAAAGAAGGCTGCTATTTCCAGTAGCCTTCAATATTCATCATGAAAACTAGGGTTTTTCATGTCTGCTACATACATGAATTTAACATCTTTCACCAGATTACATACCTTTTAGGAATCAAGCCAACTAATACTTAGAAATCACAAATTTACTTCTTAGGACAGATAACAAATCTTTTATGGTTCCTGTAAACACACTCAGCCAAAATGAGTTACCTCTACTTTTCCACCAACAAAATGGAAATTCATGGATTTGGGGAGATGAAGTTTTTCCTCCAGCATTTTCAGCCCTGCCCTTTATTGTTCAGTGAATGGTGTGGTGCCTGGCTCTTGGCTTTTGTTCATGGTTCTTGTCCTGTTGAAACAGCTGGACAACCAGTGAACATAACAGCTTAATGTTTATTAAAGAAAAGAAGAGGAAAACAAGAAGAGAAGGAAAAGGAGAAGAAAAGGCCAAGGAAGAGAAAAGAGAAGATATCTGTTGTGCTTTATAATCACTTACTAGTTAGCAAGCCTTATTCTTTCCAGATTGCCACATGGTCATGTACACCAGAAAGGCATAATTTGATTAGGTATATAGCTTTTTGTGATTTGCTTTTGATATTTAGCTTTTTGCCTTTTCCTAATTTCAATGCCCAAGTAAGAGCTGTGGACTCTGTTTCTTGAGCAGAGGTCCCTGAGGAAATGGGTTTGGCCTCGATAACTTACTGTGAACTGACAACTGTATAAGCTGCCCTTTCCTCTTAGATAAAGCTGCTTCCATCATTGAACCACACCTCCTCACAGTCTTTAGAAGGACAGGCCACTGATGCTCTGCCTGCTTGCATAGGTCTGGGAGATCACCTGTTCACAAGAGTGGCTAACCTCTGAGCAACCACAGAGTTCACAGAGTGGCTAACTGCAGGCAAGTTTAAGAGTAGTGCAAGTCTTAATGATAAGTTCAGAAGTACCTAAAAGCATTGCCTGATAATTGGTAGGTTGTCAACCACACGTAGCCTTTTGTTTTAAGAATAGACATGACTTGATGAAGAGTCAGGATTTCTATTTTTTTGTCTCAAAGTTAGTTAGGTAGCTTCCTTCATTAGCACAGCTGTAGCTGTTATTTTACTCAGGCAGCATGGCCATCCAGGGTCACTAAATCTAACTTTTTCTTTTTTCTTTTCTTTTTTTTGGGGGGGTGCCAGGGATAGAACTTGGGACCTTGCACTTGTGAGACAGGCAGCAGAATCACTGAGCTAAATCCCCAGCCCATAAATCTTTTTTGAAAAGTACAGTGCTACCTTGGTTGACAAACAATTCATTCCATGATTCTGTTAATGAGCTGAATTGGTCATTAACCAAATCAAATTTCCCATAGGTTCAATGTAAATAAGCTAATCTGTTCTAATCCCTATGTAATAGTTGAGAATTAATTTTGGCCACAAACTGAATCAAACTTTCCCATAAGGGACAATGTAAATAAGGTTAATTTCATTCTGAACCATGCATATGTTTAAAGACAAAAATATGAGACAAGGCACGGTACAGTATGAAGAGACTGTACACTAATCTTGCTTGAGGCAACTCCTGGAGTGGAGGATAGGAAGATGGACAGGGATGAGGTTAGTACTTGGAGGAAGAGTCTCTCTCCATAAGAACATCAGGGAGGTCTCCCTCAGAGGTTTTCTTTCTTCTTGGTCTCCAAGATACAAGGTCAATTTTGACCCAAAACAAATTAGTCTAATATCACTTGTTTTTTCCTGTGCTCTAGAAAATGAGGGGCCACATTATCATTCATCAGATTCAACACTGTTTATTACGAGTTATGTTGGGATGGTGCTTCTCAAAGAAATTCTGTCACTCATTCCACTTTTTCCATCGTGGATTTTATCATGTTATTGCTAATCTCCTCCCTGTCTTCCTCTTCCTCAGTGGAAAGCTCCTCAACAAACACCTTCTGCTGCTTACTCTGGGGTTCAGGAAGCTCTTCTGTCACCAGCTCCTCATTATGCTCCTCCACAAGCTCTTCTGTGTTTGTACCATTGATATCAGATCCATATTCTTTCAATGAACACAGTCTCCTCTGTTATCTGTGCATTAGATCCTTCAAAGTCGTGTTCAGACACATTCTGGCCAGTTTCCTCCAGAATGAATTTAAGATCTGGTACATTACATATTCCCAGGCTTTGTCAGTGAGGTTGACGCAGTGTAAGACACTGAGTTGTTTCTTCTAGAACTTTATCAGAGTCAAAGATGTTTCTTCAGTGACATTAAAACACTCAGTGAATCTGGGTGTGGTGGCTCATGCCTGTAATCCCAACACTTGGGAGGCTGAGGTGGCAGGATCATTGT